ATGCTTTCTTTTGGTGAGGAAGATTGGCCCTGAGCTAACATCTGTTGCCAATCTTCCTCTTTTTTTCCCTCCCCAAAGCATATACATAGTTGTATATCCTAGTTGTAAGTCCTTCTAATTCTTCTACATGGGATGTGGCCACAGTGTGGCCTAATGAGCGGTGTGTAGGTCCACGCCCAGGACCTGAACCAGCAAACTCCAGGTTGCCAAAGCGGAGCATGTGAACTTAACCACTACACCAGCAGACTGGCCCTTGAATCTGTTTTTGTTTTTAAAGTATGCTTTTTGGTGAGGAAGATTGGCCCTGAGCTAACATCTGTTGCCAATCTTCACGTACTTAACCACTATGCCAGTGGGCTGGCCTGAATTTATTTTTATTAGTATCTTTGAAGTAATTCTCCCTCAGTTCTCTAAATGTATGCTCTGAGCCAATAAAAGAATGAGCAAACAAATTTTCAAGAGTATTTTTCCTAAAATATGACCATCATCTTTGAAATATTCAGGATTTCAATTTTAAAATTTTGTGAATTATATTTTCCCCATGATTGCCCTTAAATATTGGATACTTTTTCTCATAAGAATTCTCAGGAACAGTGGCTGTGAAATCTAAAATAATTCTAAGACCCCAATCATTTCCATTGGGAGAATAACATTGGAAATCTTGTTTTTTTATTCATAGGCTCTCCACTGTCTCAGCTGGCATCAATGAACCTTAATTATGCTTTTAGTGTCTCATATAATTTTGAATAGCACCTATTAAGGAGGAATTATTAAAGAGTGTTGTGATGTGTTTCAGATCTTTGGATAGCAGTAGATATTTTTTCAGGCAGAAAAATCTAGAGTTAATGCCAAGTAGGTACAGATATCAGCTCTAACGGTATCTTTAAACATTTCGGAAAAGGAATTAGATGATATGTCTGTGTTAGAACATAAAACTAGGTACTAGGTTGTAGGTTCAAAATGGTCATTCATTCATGTTACCACTTTCTTCACTGTAGTATCAGTGAGCTCTGATTGATCCAAATCTTCGGGTTGTGTAAATCTTGAATTATTTGGGTCTCTGCCACCAGAAAGTAAAGTCAAAAACGGTCTTTTTAAGGAAAAAAAAAAAATAGTTCTGTGTCAGAGTTGTATGCTGAGTCAGCAGAAATCATTTAAAACCTAGCTCTGACAATAGATTGGATAAAAAGATGTTGAAATCCTTTTTTCATTCAAATTAAAAATTTTTGAAAAGCATGTTTTATTGTACGAATTATTTTATTTATATCCATTGAAAAGTGGTTGGCAGTCGTTTGTTTTACACAGCCAGCAAGTGGTAAGACTGGAGACAGAACAGGAGAATAAAAGCCCATCGCCTGTAGAGCTGTAGATAATGAAATGCGTACGTGAAGGTAACTTTTGTAAAGAGCCTGGACACTGTCCCTGGGAAACTGTCATTCCCTGCCGTGGGCCAGCCAACATTTTTCGGTTGCGCCAGCATGCTAAGCCCTCTGGACATTACCTCATTAAATATTCAACAAATACTCTTTCTTTTTCCTCATTCCCTTTCCCTCTTCTATTCTAAAGGAAAATATGTAAGCGTTCCCTGCAGTGCAGGCTTTTCTTTTGCTTTTGTGAATACCTTCATGCCACGTTGTAGTCTGTCTCGGTGAGTTAATGTAAAGTCATTTCTATGCCTTGTGATGAGACAAACTGACAATTTTCCACTTTCCCTTAAGGATAGCTTGTAACACAGGTTTTTCTCTTATAGGTTGTGGGACTGGAAAGTATCTTAAAGTGAACAGCCAGGTACATACCCTGGGCTGTGACTACTGTGGGCCATTGGTCGAGATTGCCCGGAGTAGAGGATGTGAAGTCATGGTATGTGACAACCTTAATCTCCCCTTTAGGGACCAGGGCTTCGATGCCATCATCTCCATAGGAGGTAAGGCAGCCCGGTCACACGTTCACTCTTCGCCGTGAGAATAATGTCACGCGGTTGAGGCCACTCTTACAACCCAACATCCATTCTTTGTAGAAAGGGCTATGTAATTCAGTTTATCTAATCTTTAAAAATACTTCAACTGATTGATTTGACTAATTTCAAATATACTTAGGAGGGTACATATGATTGTTTAACTGGTTAACCTTCAAAGGGTTAATTGCATTCTTTTTGATGACTCATCTCAATTTCTTTTACTTATGAGTAAGAGAGTATTAGAGGAGTTTTGCCTCTTGGAAACAGTACTTCGTGATCCTGAAATGAAGCCAGATTCTTCCAATGTAAAGGAGATCTTTAGAAGTCATACCACCTTTTTTAGGCCACAAGTGTGCCCTTAATTAGCAGAATATTGTAGGACTAAAGCACTGAATGTCACCTGGAAAGATGTGTCATCCAATCTGCCACTCACTGGTACTCAGGTCACTGGGGAAGATGGTCCCACCTGGTCCCAGATTGCATTGTTTTCATAATGCCACTCTTCTCTCTTACTGCCAGAGACTGTTCCTAAGTTAGGGAATCTGTTCCTCATATTTCCCCAACAGGTGTGCCCATAAAATACACGTAGCAAAAATGAAAAGAAACCACAAAATCCATGCCTGAAACATATACAGATAAGGCTCATTTTACTCAATATATGTATTCCTGAAACCTGGTATGTTACTCATATTTTAATATGCCAGGAAAACTTGCTATTTAAGGGAATCTTACAGCAAGTTCTTTCGCAAAGCAAATTATTTTTCCCAGTACACTTTTTAAAAAATTAATCTATTTGAATATAATGAGCTTTATCAAAGCAAGGTAAACCTATATAAGACTGAGCAGATAAAAACTGATTGCTAGATAAAAATTCAGAATAAGACTGTTTGCCCTCTTGAAATAGATGAGAAATTTGATTTATTCAACATTAGATGGGGACGATATCTTTGCATAGTGAGGGGACACAGGCCTGGATGCCATAACCTTGGAACTAGTTAGGACTGGCAGGAGATGGTTGCCATGGAAACCTGCTCTATGACGGCCCTACTTCTTTGCAGTTGAAACTAAGTCCATTTTGGTCGTAAACATTAAGAGAAAGGATTCTTCTTGAGCCAAGCAGCACCATACAATGCTTTGAATCTTTAGTGGAGAGAAAATTTTTGGTTTAGTCATTCCACTGAAAGAGCTAGACATCAGAGAGGGCTCAGAGGAGTGTATTCTTTGCTCTTCCTTTGTTTCCATTAGTTTTAGGGTCCACAAGGCTACCTCATCCAGGCTGTGCTGTGGAGCCACTGTCATAGGCATTAGGGTACTGACCAGCTCTCCTACCTTTAGGAAATGCTGCACGTGTCCACGGTTAAGTCCTTCTCTGTTTCCCATTTAAATCTCAGACCTTACCTGCAGAGGAAATGGAGCACCCTTGTTGCCATCTTCTCATTAAAAATGCTTCTTTTTTTTTTTTTTTGGAAGATTAGCCCTGAGCTAACATCTGCTGCCCATCCTCCTCTACTTTATATGTGGGACGCCTGCCACAGCATGGCTTTTGCCAAGCAGTGCCATGTCCACACCTGGGATCCGAACCAGCAAACCCCTGGCCGTTGAGAAGTGGAACGTGTGCACTTAACCACTGCGCCAGTGAGCCAGCCTCTAAAAATGCTTCTTTATGAGCCGGCCCGTGGCCAAGTGGTTAAGTTCTCGGACTCTGCTTCTTCGGCCCAGGGTTTTGCCAGTTCAGATCCTGGGCGCGAATGGGGCACCACTCATCAAGCCATGCTGAGGCGGCGTCCCACATAGCACAACCAGAGGCACTCACAACTAGAATATACAACTATGTACTGGGGGCTTTGGGGAGAAGAAGAAAAAAAAAGAAGAAGAAGAAGATTGTCAACAGATGTTAGCGCAGGTGCCAATCTTTAAAAAACAAATGCTTCTTTAAGTGGAAACAGCTTGTGTTTTTATGAACTGTAACTGTAAATTAAGGTGACGTCATCATTTTCCAGTTAGGTTTCACATTTAGAGCCGTATAATGAGAAATTTCAACAGACCGTCTCTCCTATGTCCATGTATATTTACTTCCCTATTTAGAATTCTGAATGTTGGCACTTCTTGCTTATCATATCATGAAGAAATACATTTTTGCTTTTCCGTGTCTCTTAATAATAATGTGAGACGTAAGCATCATACCTAATTATATATTCCTTATGTTTTACTGACAGATTGGATAAAGAAACACTTTCTACTTAGTTTGAGAATAGTCTGACAAAAATTCTATGAAAATTTGGCAATATATCAAAATAGCATTAATCAACGATTTACTTTACACCAGTGTCCTCAACTTGGGGTTATGTTGCACCCCCTCCCACCCTCAGGGGACATTTGTCAATGTCTGGAGACATTTTTGGTTATCACAACTTGGTGTGTGCTTGTGCTCCCTACTGTCATCTAATGAGTGGGCCCCCCACAACAAAGAATTATCTAGCCACAAATGTCAATAGTGCTGAGGTTGAAAAATCCTGTTTTATGCTAAACCTGTGGATTCTGAATGCTTATAGTTAGAGACAAGACATGCACACTTGAAAAGTTAAGTAATGTTACATCATAAAACAGCAAAATATTATAGGACTTTAAAGATGATCTTGTGTAACTTCTCATGTGATTCTCGAATCCAGTAACTGAATTCCGCCTACCTATTTTCTGGGCTCTCAGCAGGAACACAATGCTTTAGGATACATATATTGAGTACTATTTTTGCCTTTAAGTTGTGATTATGATTTTTAAACAAAAGAGGATTTTTTTATCCTTTAAAAATTCAACATAGTTTCCTGAAATTAATAATTCATATAAATATATCTTTATGTCCCATTTGGATTACATTTACAGTGTTTCTTAATAGAGCATGTATGTATATGCATAATACATTTTAGATGTAATGAAAAAAATCTTCATTTGTAAACTTTTTCTTTTTCAAAAACATCTGGATTAAAAGTTACTTAGTATTACATGTTAAATATAAATACAAAACATAATATAAAAGATTTAGATATTTCCTGGGTGAAATTATAGTATTAAAATGAATTATCACATAGCAAATATTTAAGAAATGAAAAAATACAGACTTTTCTTCCATAAAAAAGAAAACTTCTTTTGAAACCCAGAATCCTGAAATGTTGAAGACCTATGAGTCTACTAAAAAGAGGTTACTGTATTAAAATAGTCCTGTTTTAATGCTGGGGGTTTTTTCCTCTTATGGCCCCCCAAAAGGAATTCGGTCAACTGTCTTTATTCACAGTAATCGTGTCCGATTAAGTCTCCGTAAATGCTGACGTATCCAGTACTGAAACACTGCTTTCAGGGGAAAACCAGGATTAGGTTCCTGTGAGCCTCTGCTCATAACATTTTTGTGATCTGATCAATACACTCCCTTGTTTGATGTTTGTTTCTGTTTAAAGACGCCTTATTTAATTTTGAACTCATGCCAACAGCACTATAACTCGTGCTTGAACGAAGCTTACATAACATGTGTATTTTCTCTGGAAGACACGTCACAGCCTTGTTGTGCTCTGGAATCCTAGACAGGACTTCAGCCCTATGCTTGCGGGCCATTTTGAATAGCGACATCACCAACAAAAAGCACAAAAATGCAAAGAATGTGGCACTAAATAGACCAAGAAAAGGACATTTGTTGACAGTATGAGAGCTGAAACAAGAAGGTGGAGGGTAGCCTTGTCCGATGCCAGCTGGTAACATGCATCTTGGAGGCTCAAGTGTTTTTACCACTCTGTGCATGTCAGTGAATGACCACGAACACGCTGAGAGTGCTGATTCGGGGGGTTGCAAGTAAATTTTAGCGAGTAGGCAAATAAGCAAATACAGAATCCAAAGATAGCAAAGATCGACCATATTTAGAAAATACACTTATAGAAATTCAAGTGAATTGGGTGCAAGTTATGGGAGATATTAATGGCCATGAGTAGTCATAGATAGGAACATTAGCGTTGTCCTGTCTTACTCATTCCTGACCCCTATGCCTCCTTTTAGCCCAACGACCAAGACACTACTTCTGGAAGCGTATGCTTTCAAATTGACATTATAAAGGGCTCTCTCTTTGGGGACAGGGTAAGGGGGTCAGTCTGATGCTTAGTGAAGTAAGGTGATTGGTCAAAGATCATAGGGCTGGTTATTGATAGATGTAGGACAAAATACACTCAAGTCCTGTTCTTCAACCCCATTTTGACCTCATACCTCCAGCTTCTTACACCGCTGCACTGTAGAGAAAGAGACCCAGGCTTTGTGTGCTGCTGACAACAAGGAAAACCTCACTGGAAACAACACAGAGTGCCTGCTGAATGAGCGTCCTTTGATAGCTTTCTCTATATATAGTAATCTCATTTAGACATTTACTGTCTCTCTGCGGCAGGTAAACTACAGAGATTTATCTGCCTGAAACCACTACTAACAGCTGGATTACGGTGAGGGTTACAGGAGCTGTTCCCCCTGCTCTCTTCCCCCACTGCCCATATCTGAGCAGTAATGTCCAGACTTCCCTTGGGGTTGACTTCCTGCCTGACACATGTATGTGGTAGGCCTGAGGGTGGAAAAATAATCTGATGTTTTCTCTTGACACAGTGCTGTGATTATACTCCCCTAGGAGCTAACAGACTAGCACTTTCTACATGTGGTTTGATGAAAACTATGCCTAATAACGAATTGAAGACCAGAAAAAGGCAGTTCTGCTTGAATCTCACGTTAATTTTGCAGGGGTTGGAAGTAAAATGATGACCTCTAAGTTGATTTTTTTAAAAAACATACACAACCATTTTATATTATATTCATATTTTAAAAATTCTAAGCAATCATTTGGACCTGTGCTTGGCTGGCTTATCTTTGCATTATCTAAACAGAAAAACAACCTTTAACATTTTTCTCCACTTCTGTTGGCTTTATTAATTGTATTAACCCTGATTAGTGGTGTTCATCTTTTGGTGCTTTAGAAGCACCAATCACTCATTAAAACAATGAGTTATTTCATAGAATCCTATTAGAGAACACTTACCTAACCTCATGCTCCTTTGCAAATTTTACTTATTCACAATGGTCATCCTTCTGGTTAATAAAATTTACAAGATTTTGGAACTGGAAGAGACCTTACAGATTGTGGACATCTTATTGTAGATGAAGAAACTGAAAATCCATAGAAGTTAAATAATTGCCCTGGATCTGTTGTCCAATAAGTACATGAGCCGAAGCTAAGAATGATGTCTCCCCTAAAGTCAGGTCTGGGGCTGTTTCTACCACCTGCCCTACCCTGTAGGAAATAAGGTTTTCCTACATGTCAAAATGGCATCATTGTTATATGGAAAATAGTAGTGTATAAATATGTCGGTTTATGTATGCGCATACACATTGAGACCTAGTTTCTTCTTTTCCAGTCATCCACCATTTTTCTACAAAACAAAGAAGAATCAGAGCAATAAAAGAAATGGCCAGGGTCTTAGTTCCTGGAGGCCAGCTGATGATTTATGTCTGGGCTATGGAACAAAAGAACAGGCGCTTTGAGAAGCAAGATGTGCTTGTTCCCTGGAACAGGGCTTTATGCTCCCAGCTCTTCTCAGAACCCAGCCAGCCTGGGAGAAAGAAGCAGTGTGGACATCCGGAAAGAAGCCATCCCTGTCGTCCTCCTTGCTCTGTGTGTAGCTGTTCTGGTTGTTTTAAAGAGCAGTGTGGTTCAAGACGGTCCCACAGCATAGACTATGAACCAGTGACGGCTGGAACCTGTTGTGCAAAGGTTTCTAGGGAAGGAGAGGAAGAAAATGGATTCTATAACACGTTAGGAAAATCTTTTCGTTCCTGGTTTTTCTCCAGATCTTTGGATGAATCAACTCTGAGGAAGCAAATTGAAAGAGTGAGACCCTTGAAAAGCACAGAAGGATGGACCAACAGCACTGTGTTGGTCCAGCCCTCCAGACGCTCTAGCTTAGACTTAGATCACCAAGAGCCATTTTCAACAACAGAGCAAAATTTAGATGAAGAAGTGTTTGTGGAAAGTTCTCAGAAACGTTCGGAAGGGCTGAAAGCACCAGCCGCCAGGAAACACCTAAATGGAGACCATCACGGTGAAATGAGGAGAAACGGAGAGGGGAATTTTCCGGAGAGCACCAATACAAATGAGAATTGGGCGTGTGCAGGTAACTTAGAAGAAGGTAACCCTTCTGCTAGGAAGATATTGAGAAGGATTTCTGCAGTCGGTTCCACAGATTCCAACCCAGATGACGCAATTTCTGTCGAAGAACAGCCCGACGTTTTGGATTCCAGAGCCTTTATGCGTTACTACCACGTGTTTCGAGAAGGTGAGCTCTATGCCCTGCTGAAGGAGAATGTGTCAGAGCTCCACATTCTGAGCTCTGGGAACGACCATGGCAACTGGTGTATCATTGCAGAGAAAAAGGAAAATTGTGATTGACCGGAACATTTTAGACAACTCTTCTAAAAGGTGAACCACGTTCTTTTCACCAGGTTTGGTATAGTTACCCGAATTTGCGTCCAATTTTATTATTTCTTAATCCATTTATGCTTTGGTCTGTAGAGACTATGAATTGATCATCTTTTTAATGTTTGGGTACACACAGACCATGGCATCTAAAGCAATTGCCAAAGGGTATTTGTGGTTAAATGTCAATATAAGAGACCTGAAGAAGCAATATAAAACAAACTTCAATATAGTTTGGAATTTTTTCCCCTGAAAGGTGAAATTATTATAAAAATAGATGTAGATTGTTTTTCAGTATTATACATTGATTTTAAAAGATTCTGATTTTAAGTATTCCTTCTAAAAACAGAATTTTTATACAGTAAAGGGGCAATTTCTGCTTCTTGGGTTATAATTTAGATCTGTGTGCAAGATGACAGGTAAGCCTGTTTCAATGCATAGATGTAAATTGAACCATATGATACATTATTTTGTTGCCAAGGCCTTGCTGTTACTTAAAAGCTGCAGAAAGTGAGAGACAGTGGAGAGAGACAAGAAATGTTACACAGACTTTTCTAAATGATAAGAAAACTTGCTTCAAGATAAGTAAATAATAAGGTTTCAGTGTTGCTCAGAAGGTTTTTAGAGGCGCTGTTAGCATGTAGATGTGGGTTCTAGAAGTTACTGCAAGTACCCAGGTATTTTTCTAACCTTATTAGAAGCAGAAATATCAGTTATGATAAGACCAAGATTGACTAATGGGGAGTTTTCCTCTAGAAGGATGCTTTTCTTATGAATTGAAGGGATATTTAGGAAATGAGAATCTGGCTGAAGCACTGTTTTATTTTGGGTCTGAGGACAAATAGATTGTTAAGGTGCAAGATATTTAGCCTTGGCAAAGGATTTGTTGTTGGATTTTTAAAAATAATATCCTGGGGGACCAGCCCGGTGGTGTAGTGGTTAAGTTCAAACACTCCACTTCAGCGGCCCAGGGTTCGCAGGTTCGGATCCCAGGTGTGGAGCTACACACCGCTCATCAAGCCATACTGTGGCGGGGTCCCACCTACAAGACAGAGGAAGATTGGCACAGATGTAAGCTCAGTGACAGTCTTCCTCAAACAATAAGAGGAAGGTTGGCAACAGATGTTAGCTCAGGGTCAATCTTCCTCACCAAAAAAATAAAATAATATCTAAGCATTTATCTTATTGAAAGTGACCACATTTTATTAGTTATATTAGGGATTTAGGCAGAATCAAGTCCTATTCATTAAAGGTTGAACTTCTGCCACGTTATAGACAAACGAATAGATTGGGTGTTGTATGGTCACTATAGCTGTTTACATTTAGCCATGGGTCTGTTTGAATCCATGTCATGGATCTTGAGATGTAGACATAATTAGGACAGGACTAGAGAGCTTAGAAAAGCAGATATAAGTTGACTCAGGAACATGGCCTCAGATAGTTCCTTAATGAGGAGAGAACAGACATTTGACGAAAGCCTTTTTACTTCATGAACCATTATAATCCTAGATGAAAATCCAATTCTTATTTTATTTTCCACTAAAATAATAAAAGATTTCACTTGTTTTGGGTTCTTTTTCCCTTCAGTGATTGTGCTCCAACTTAAAATGATGTTATTTTCAAAGAAATCTGAAGGATTATTTTTAATGTTTATCTGAAAATTATTGATGTTTTTAACTCTCTTTTGGCTTCAAAATAAGATTGCCCATCACCTTTTTGGCTGATGAGGTTGTCTGGTGGCAATGAGACATACGATCTGTATTGTTCAGTGCAGTTTGCATTAGAGGGACAATGAAAACAGACATAGCAGTGGAATAGAAATTAAAAATTAATTCAGTGTCTTCCATTTCTTAAATTAGAACATCAAACCAGGAGTATAAGTGGTTTCATTGGTGGAAATAAAAGATTCTCAGAGTCGGAGAAGTTCTTACAATTAAAGCTCGTTGGCCTTTTATTATGACTGGATTTTTCCTCTCCTTGAAGCCTGTTGTCACGTGTATCTTTAGTCCCGGCCTTGCTGCTGGAAATCTATTTGAAGTCATCTCTTTCTGGTGGTGGCCGGCCACTTACATGGAACTCAGTTTATTAGACTGTGCCAGAAAAGCTTTGAGCTAACCTGTATGAGCAACCTCCAAGACACACACACACACACACAAACCCCACTTTGTATAAAATGATTCTCTAGAGTGGTTCGTGAGAGAGAAATATTTTCACATACTTTTGACAGAGCTATAAATAAAAAACCACTAATAATAGCAATCTGTTGCTCTTCATCTATTGAGCGCAAGAATTCTATGCAGCCAGACATTATTTTGTATGCAAATATTTAACTCCCTTGTTGATAATCTTTCTTGGGTATATTCATGTGAAAAGCACTCTTAAAGCGAACTTTAGATATGTATAATATCCTATATATAGATATATCTCCAATACATATATATAAGCCATTGAAGAGTCAAAACTAATGTAAATATCTTGATCATTTAAAACTCTTGTTCACCCTTAAGGTTGTCCTCAAAAGGAAATACAAGTCATAAGTGAGTTTAAATGTAAACAGGTTACTCGTGAGTGTGGTCTGCCTTAACTTGCTCGATGATAGACTTTACTGATCTATGGAAGGAATTGGAAAACTTAGCCTCCATTATTGATACTCGGTCACACCGTGTCCGTCCTGTTCCTTCTCCTTTACGTGCTGGCGGTACTGCAGAGCCCACTCTCCGAAGTAGAGGGGGCATTTTGGGGATTGCTGGAAGGTCCTTCAAAACCTTCGCTGGCTTATTGATGCCTCGCTGGCCTATTTGGGGAATTCCAGATAAACAGTCAAATGATCTAGGGGAAAATGCAGTAACATAGAGAAAGGGTGCAATCAAAATAATATTATAGTGGGAACCATGCAAGTGGCCTATTTACATTATTATTCTTTAAATTGTCGCCATAGCGATGAAATGACACCAGCATGTCCTGGTAACGAACAAACCATCTAACAAATCTTGCAGTATCACGTTGGTCCCTTCTCATCACACATCCCTAGGCAAGATGGTGTATAATTCTTGTTTGCCTTTGTATGTCCTTCCAAATTCTAGATATCAAGAATTCCTCTGTATTTTAACTGAGCATCAATTGAATGGGCCAAAACTGGAGGTAATCCAGAGAGAAAATAATCCAAATATAAATCAGCCAGGGACGTGAATGTAATTATATATTCATGGCCACAAAAAGAATAAGCACTGGTGGATTTTTTATTAATATAAATGGGTTTGGAGGAGGACAGAGGGTCTAACCCAATAGTTGTTGAAGTTGGTGGGGGAGAGTATTCCTTAAAAATGAGCTGTGAGCACTGAGTTTGGGAGAGAGGGGGAAATGGGGTCCAGCCACTGGCTGAGCAGCTCCAGTCTAGGAAGAACAAATTAGGGCAGGCCTGAGCTTTTCTCTCCTATTATCTAGGAAATTGGGAATAATAATAGTAAGAGAAGTTAACTTTTCTTAATATCTAACATTGATTATTTTATCTGTATTCCTCACTGCAGCCCTCTGAGATAAGTATACTTATTGTTCCCATTTTGCAGATGAGGAAAACTGAGGCAGAAAGAAATTAATTAAACTGCCAACGTCACACACGTAGTAAGTATCACACATCTAGAAAAGGGCAGGGCTGAGATTCAAACGCAGGCAGTTTTGTTCCCAGCCTGTGCTGTCATCCACAATACCATATACACCCCACCCAGTAACGGTGCTAGGCAGAGCCTAAGAGCCTTGCAAAGTATGATCGTCCCCTTTACAAATAAACTTTAGGAAGGTTAAGCAAAGATTTCACAGTCAGACAATAATTGGAGAGTAATCCCTTAGATATTTTCCCCATTCTTTTATATTTACTTTTTTCATTTGTAAGTCTGTTTCAATTTGATTTTAATTAAAAGACGCTGTGGTCACAAAATGCTCTGTGATCACTTTTCTCCAACTTTTCAACTCTTTAAAAATTGTATTACCGGTTTCCCATTTTATAGGTGAGAAAGTTGAGGGCTATTCAGATACTTCATTCATTTCATTCGTTTATTCAGCCCTGCTATGTGCCAGGTACCTATGAATATAAGGTGTGTTGAGTGTACACAGAATATTAGAATCAACTGACTCGAAAGTGCCTAGCTGGCACATTTTTCATATTCGTTTGTGTACTGCTACCAAGTTATATTGTTTAGCGTGAGAAAAGCAATATACAAAACCCTCAGAGACCCACATGCGTATTAGCATATTTAAGGCCGACCCTAAAGTAAAGTTGGGCTTAATTTAACTGAGCTGCGCCGGACATATTAACTTCCCCTAGCACGAGCAGTCTGTGGCACACATTTCAGAAAATAATGTGGCCCAGAGAATAAAATGCAGACTTCTTCAGGGCCTTCAGACCTTCATAAATTCACTCTCAAGTATTTTTCAGCCTGCTCATCTCCTGCCACCACACCCAAGTTTTTCTGTTCTGCAATCTGCTCTGTTACACAATGCCTTCATTAGAAATTACATAATGACAAGTAATTATCACATCCCCTAGATATAAACTTGGATTCCAAATGCCATCATTGTAATCCTTTTCCAGAGAAAAATGCGTGAAACGGGCTTCATGCCGTCAATTCAAAGGGCAAATGAGATAAGTGTTATCACACACCCATCCAACAGATGGAAAAGCCATGGGAGTGGAAAGGAAGTACAGACGCATTGACAGACTCCAAACCAGAATGCTCCACTCCGCTCATCCCAATCTTAACTCAGAATTATGATTATTGGCTTGACGTTATAGACTCGATATTTGCAACCTCAATTATCTACAAAACCGGAGTGGGAATATTTCAAAAGAACTCTCATCAACCAAGGGTTGACATTATAATGCAAATAGCCTTCGGCAGGGCATGGGAAACACAAACACAGAAACCTAAGAGAGCTCATCAAAGAGAAAACACTGACTGTGAATTGTCCTATTTCTGATTTTCCACGGGCCCCGTGGGATGGGACGCAGTCGTAGGAATGGACATCATTTCAGTTGTAACACCCACTCTGCCTCCCTCCAGATGTGGGTCTCCCCCAATTGATTACACACAAGTAACACTGTATCTGGGAGTTATAGAGCTACAATATAATCTATGTGACCAATATCGTGGACCGCTTGTGAGAGCTGGTTGTCAAATTGGACGCCCCGTTTGACAAATAAATATATATTTTGTCTTTTCTTTGACGAGAGCTGGGAAAAAGAACGTTTACCTCAACCCAATTAATTTTTCATTAATCCACATGAGACAATACATTTTCTCCATATGGAACATCTTTTTCTCTGTATGTTACCTCCACATAGTAAAGGTCATTAACCTGTAGCCAGTGCACCTGAATGTTGAATTCCCTGAAAACGTTACTTACGTTTATGCCCACCCACTGGGAGTTTGGGTAAGTGACAGGCATTTCTCTAATGAGTGCATCATTCCACTTCCATTAGATTGTCTATTAACATAGGTGGACGGACTCCATTAGTAAAGGTCTGCCCTTCTCTGTTTGGTTCCAGAGAACACTGGGGACACTTAAGGCGTCCCACTGTGGACCTCAGTGGAATTTCTGAGACTCTTTGAATATGTATGTGAAAACTGTCCCATTTTCCTTAGATATTCTCTTAAATATATATTATGTAAATATATATTTTCCTAGACGTCTGGTGTTCGCTGTCATTAGTGACCAAGAAAAAGTGGCCCTCTTCTGTGCTTGTCAAAACATTAACTTAGCAATTAGCATGGAAATGTACTTCATTGAATAGATCTTTTGTTTCAGGGAAATTGAGAGAGA